TTCGATGTTTAGTGTAGGAATCTGGGAAAGTTTATGATTCTTATTAAATGTTACTTTAATTCTTTTAAAAAAAAACGTCATGGCTGACTAGATATTTGGAAAAATCCGAATTCAGCCAATTCCTTCAGATGCGTGTAGCTCCGTTACTATTTATTTTACAAAAAAAATTTAAATTGCAAAGTTTCAGGTTTTTGTAGTGTTAATAAGATAATGTGATCAAATTGTTCATGTACACTTTCGTTTTCAAGTTATAACATAAACTTCAAGCTTTTTAAATGTGTACCATAGTTAGCTATGGACTAGAAAGAATTGTCTTTTTTATGCTTTTCAAGGATATAATATTCGGTATTGCTATTTTTCATATATTTCCTCATTTAAGCTGTTTTGTATATCTAATAATTTCGCAGAATCCTACACTAAACATCGAAAAAAAACTGACCCTGTATAGATCTTATGAAAATTTTGTTTCAAATTTCTTGAACCTAGGTATTATGCAAAAAATTACTCCAATATTTAAATTATACTGACATATATGTGATTTAACAGACTTCTATAAGCTCTATTTTAAAAAAGAGTCAGTCAATAACTTCTAATATCATTTTTACAAAGGCGTTTCCATTTGAAATGGGTCCCTCTGTATGTTCTACACAGCGAAGTGTGCCGCTATTTAAAATATATATACATTTAAAGTTTACCCTCTATGCGGTGCTTCTACGGCATTTTGCAGATATTCGGCGTAGACTAGTTATTCTCCTCACTTTCATTGATCCCCCGTATAGTGAGCAGAGAGTAGTTGTATTAAAACAATAGTTTTCCACAGCATGGAAATAGTCGCACAATGAACACAGATGCTAACCACCTGTTACAGATGATTTCAGTTTTTGATATTAACGCTACACTTCATTGACTGCCTCGTTGGTGTCGAATGTCTCGTTAATCAATTGGATTATCCTGCAAAACCGAATTTACCTCCGATCGGCACCAATAATTCGATAACGGCCGGACAAGAGGACGTGCTGAAAGCATCTCCGTGTCATCTGTTGCTCGGCGTACACCAGGAACAAGTGGCAGGGCAGAGTGCCGCTTGTTCTTTTTTATTTTTTTAATTAACTCGGTCCTGGAGCGTTTCCTTGTTTGTTATTTTTTTTCCGACGACCGGGCATGTGCCGAGAGCTCTCGTTAGATGTAATTAGAATAATTATTCAGATGTCTTTTCATTTACGGTCGGCATGGCGGAAAAAGCTTGTATTTTTCGAGTTAATTGTTTCGTGCGTGGGTAGAAATGATTAAATGTTGTACACGGTGTCTCTGGTAAGTATCACTGTCGATAAAGCGCCTAGTAGTAGTAGTAAAAAGGGGCAGCCTCAGCCTGGCAATTAAGCCACAAGTGGGCCCTCTTTGCCTACCCCGCCGTTCCATCACCTAACCACTCTCTGCCTCTGACCCTCCTCGAACCTACCCGACGCCCTGATGAACGCCAGGATTTTGGTCCATGGAAGGTCTCTCACCTCAACCCCTTGCAGCTCTTCAGCACCAAAGACTGTATGTCTTATTCTCCCAAAGGCTGCACACTGTCCCAGAAGGTGGACAGGGGTATCCTCCCCTTCGCCGCATTTCGGGCATAGAGGGTCCTCCTCAATTCCTATTAAGCTTAAATGCCTCCTAAGTCTGCAGTGGCCTGCCTGAATCCCCACCATTTGGTTTAGGGCTCTTCGACTGAGTCTGAGCAGCCATCTCGTCTTGGATTTGCTAGGTCCATGTATAAAACTATGGGCCTGCCTATATCCTCTATTTCTCCTCCAGTTCTGACCTAAAGTTTGATAGGCCCATTTATTTATAAAGCGCCTAACACGTGCTTGGGAGTTTAAGTTTAAAGATCTGTTGGTGTGTCGCAATATTTCATGTACGTGGAGCTACCACAGTTTTCCTATCTCAGGATGCTTCGTTTAGTCGCTAGAGGACATCAAAGTTGATAAAAAATATTGTTTTTTTCAAATAACTTTGAAATATCTTGTAATATTTTACTGGTACTTTCATATACAGAGTGTCCCACCACGAACTCCATCGATGGATATCTGGGAAATCGCTTGAAGGTTTTTTGTTTAATTGTGATGGTGTGGTAAGGACCGTGGGGCCTACCAAGCTAAAATATTTTCAAGGTCATCGTACTTCCGGTTATACCGGAAGTCCACACTAACTTTCTTATATTATTGCATTTTTGGAAAGAGCATCTATTTTTAAGTTGAAAACATATAACACACTCCATACTTAGGATTGGCCGCTTCCGAGATATTTTGATTTTTAAGCAAAAATTGGCAGATTAAAAACCTGTGACAGCTGTCATGTTACTTACTTGTCACGGCCAACCTAAAATGTGCGAAACAAATGGAAACATCATTTTAAGAAAAGGGAAATGTTTATTAGTAAATAAAATGAAAACCACTAGGTTTAGGTATAGGGAAACTTTAATAAAGGTACACTTAATTTTTTTGCGGAATGTGAATACGTTAAAAAAAATAGGGGTTTCCATTTGAAAATTTCGAGTTTTCCACATTTTCTGAAGTTTATATTCGATAATTTTTTTTGACCACCCTGTATAAAAACTGGAAAATTTTCATGTCAAATTCGATAAATTAGGTCTTCCTCCACAAAATGTCCAATTTGCACAAAAAAATAATACTGTGTTTCCGGGAAAACTAAATTTTGCTGACAGTCTGCATCTGTCAATTTTTGCCTAAAAATCAGAATATCTCGGAAGCGGTTAAATCTAAGGATGGAGTGTGCTATATATTTTCAACTTATAAATAAATGCTCTTTCCAAAAATGCAATAATATACAGGGGGTTCCATTTAAAATAAGGAAGTTGGTATCGACTTCCGGTATATCCGGAAGTACGATGACCTTGAAAATATTTTAGCTTGATAGGCCCCGCAACCTGTATCACACCACCACAATTTCAAAAAAATCCTTCAAGCTGTTTCTCACATATCCATCGATGGAGTTCGTGATGAGACACCCTGTATATGTCACTTGCATGTATTTTTTTTGTCTTAAATATGAACGGTTTGTTAAAAAAATTTCATCTTTTTTTGTGTTTCTGATAGTTTGGGAGATAATCTTTTAAAAACCGAGTTAGAATGACATCCTGCGTGTATCAAATCTTGTCTTAATTTCGATAAATTTGGTGTCTAGTTCCAAAATCTCATTTTTTACGTTTTTTCAAAATTTATTAGTAAGTACTTTACATTATACGTTATACAGGATAGTTTTTAAGTTATAGTTTTCATTTCTATAACGTATATTAAACATGAGATATATTTAACACAGATGTATTTTTTCAAAAACCTGCCTGAAGCAATTAACCAACAGTTCGTAGGAATTTCTTTTTCTGAAATGATAAAAAAGTCACCATTTTATTATCGGAATGGGTCTAAGGATCGTGGTGTATGTCAGATTACAGTTGACACGCTTCCTTTTTGAAATCATTTAATTTTTAGATCGATTGAGGCACAATATTTTTGTATACACCGTGATATAAATAAACCACACATTTGTCGTCATCTCACAGTACACAACATCTTTACTTTTTTAATATAACTGTGTAAACAGACCAAAAATAAAGGAGACTCTCGATCTTCCAGCGGTTGTGTTTATTATCACATCCAATTTCATTCAGTCAATCTGCAGTACCCAACTGGATAACTTTTCTATAAACAGCCATAGGCGTAACATCGGGGTATTTTTACAAATCATATGTTAATTGAAACTTTTATTTTAAATTTTATTTGTAAAATGAAGTGCATGATTATAAGTGGGTTATCAATTTACAATTACAATACAGTACTACACATTGTTCTACATTTTTTTTGAGTTAAATTTGTTCTGTAAGGAGTAAATATTTATGTAAATCTTGAAATTGTTACTTTCTCTATCCGCAGCTTGTAGCGACAGCAAACGTAAAATATTTAAAGAATTTTTTTATTAAAAATTAACCAGTGTTTAATTAATCTGTCACCAAATTCCCCAGGAATTTCAACATCGATCGATCTGGTTTAATTAAATTAGCACAAAGACACCATCAACAAGCCGCATAGTTTGTTTCTAATTTTTCCGATTTTCGGAAGATTGCTAAAATGGCATTTAATCAATGTCATTTAGCAATTTGGGGATCTGGAAATATATTTAATCTATACTGTCTGACCAGTCATCTAAACTATTTATTACTCGTAAAACATAATCAAAATTGTTACAGCATAAAAATATGCGGTGTTTTTCCAGATACCCCGTCGGGTAATAACCGTTTTTATAGCTAACGGTAAATAGGCAACTTAAAAAATGAAAATGTAATTTCTTTTTGAACTGCATAAACTGACAACTGTCAGCGGTTAAAAAATTAATTTCTTTCATGCTATAAATTAATTAGAAATATTTTAAATTATGTAAAAATTTAAATTTTGTTCTGTGATTAAAATCGCACTGTGACGTCATTTAGTGCTACCAAGAATACATGTGCCGTCTAGTCTACAATTCTTATGCAGATCAGACAGAATTTAATCTAAAAAATGCGCATGCGGATAGCAATACGTATACATATATTTATTTTGCCAAAACTTTTTCTAGGGATTTCGTGACTTACAATTTTTTTATGTTTTTCTGTCTAAAATCAGGTACTTACTGATAATTATGGACTCTCAATATGTATAATTTTCTTTGAATTTATTTCCATTCATCTAGTAAACTAAAACAATTGATAGGTGCAACAATTAAGTATTGTTACAGTCAGTGGCGTCTCGCGGATTTAGAAAAATAGAGAGATCAATTTTAAACAATTAAGTTGCCTCAGATAAATCAGTTTTAAGTTTTGACTACTTTATGACTGAATATTGCAACTGATACTGCGCATAAAGATGAAACATACGATCGACTATCGATATCGAACTTTTCCGTCATTTTTTCAGAAGGGACACATTATTTATTATTATTATTATTGTTCTGTGCAGACTCCTTTCGTTCGTCAGAACACGCCGCATCCCAAAGAACTGAAGGCCAAGGCCCATAAGTTGTTCGGCAAGGGTCAGAACTCCATGGACGAGTCCGATCACCAGGCCCACGACACCAGCACTCCCCAAGTCGAAGCCGTCAATCCCCACGTTCGACAGGCCAGCGACCTCCCGAGGGTAAGTAGACAAAAAGACTTTAAGTAGATTTAAATTCTGAAAAAACCAAAAAATATTAATGACTGTACCTATTAGCTTATCCATCGTATATATTATATAATTTGTATTTTACTATTTTCTGAGGTTTAGCAATCTCAGGAGTTCCTCAGGGCTCTGTACTGGGGCCCTCACTGTTTAATATCGTTATAAATGACATCGCTTTCTTGCAGAACTTTATTATATGCTGTCGGCTTCTTCTGCAACCTGATTTTAAGAAAATCAACACTAATAACTAACTAACTAATAATCTGTATTTAATTGTCAAAAAGTGCAACTATATGGTATTTTACTATAACACAAATTAAAGATCATGGAGTAACTTTTTCTGCTAGTTACATTTTCAAACTAGATTGGATAAGCTTTGCCAAATCTGTGCACATAGTAACTATCCGATATTTGTCTTTTTGTAATAAATATTTTTGGCTATTCTAATCTTATTGGCAATTGCTATTTTTTTCTTTTTTGGTTTCTCTTTTATTTTATTATATTCCTTATTTTTACTCTTTTTATATATATTTTAACTGTATTTTATATTAAATATTGATTATTCTTGTCTTCTTAGATTAGATTTTCGTTAATTAAACAAATAAATTCAATAAACGTTTTGTTTTCTTCCCCAGGTGATCGAGCCCGAACCAGAAGCGGTCGTAGGCAACGGCCAGATGGAGGAGAGCAGCGAACCTAGCCAAGACGAAGACACCGATGACGTGAGTGTATATTTCCATTAACATAATAATATATAAATCCTCGTACTTTGTTAATGCAGAACAGTTCCCATTACAGTATCTTAATTTGACACATGTTCTTTTAACGTTTTTGAATATTCATGAGGATATTTGGTTACATCGCTCGAATACAGGCAGAGGTGGCATCTTGGAAATCTACGGAAAACGGTTTCTAGGATAATCTTGTTATTTATTGTTAGCCAAAGTGATATTTTGCGCTTTTCTAGGTTAAGAAAGTAAAAAAAACGGATAAAACAAGCATACATTTTGACGCGGGTATTTCTAATTCCCAAAATATTTTTAACTCTACGCGTATCTATGTAGAAATACAGGGTGTTCGCAAATTTACGAGGATTTTTGAGGGATAAATAAACAGAGGTGCGAAAACTCAATTGTCAGAAATATTTTTTTTGTAAATAGAATATAATTTCCTTTGTACTTCACCTAAACTAAAAAAATTTGCTTGAAAGTAATGAAAACTAAAGTAGAATTGATGATAACAATTAAACTAGCAATTTTTTTTGTTTACTTTAAAAAAACGGGACAAAAGGACGTAGTACGTGCTATCTGCAGCCAATATCCACCTTTTTATGTAACATGTAGGTCGGGGACGATTCCAGAGGTTCCCAATAAGTTCTATTGCCGCTCATTAATGCATTTCGCTTTTGTTCTAAGTTTTGGTTCGTGTTTTTTATTGTTTCATGTTAATCTAGATACCAGTGTAGCTTATTAGGAACGCACAAGTTGAGGAGGAAATGGATGTTATAAAAATATTTAATTATAATGTAACGGAATTAACTAAAATTTCGTTACAACTAAAAAGAGCGATTATATTAAAAATTACAGCAAACACTGATCTATTTCCGCGCGGTAGTACGAATTTATGATTAATTATTATAAACGGGCGTCAGATTAACTCCAAATGCGAATATATCCGTTATTATAAAATACTTATTAGCGTGACCTCTTCATAAACGTCCGTTCTAGTGTAAAAATAATTCCCAACGAGGCCCAATCAGTCCGTTCACTGTTCAAAACATATCGTGCGCTACGCCTACGATATTTCTGGCTCGCATTTCTAATTGTCTCGTTTGTTCCATGAATCGTGATGGATATCTGGCGTGACACTTTCGTCCGGTCGGCCGAGAGGCCTTATAGATATAGAGGGAAAGCAGGGCGGGGGAAATAAAAAAGAGCCTGTAAAAAGGGGGAATGGACGAGGAAAAAACTTGAACGTCGCGAGATTATGAGCTAAATTGTACGGCGCTACTTTTGTTCCTTGAATTTGAAATCGATAAATAGAATGGATTTTATTGAGTTAAATGCATAAAACATGCATAATGTGTATGCATATGTATGTGTATGTGTATGCATAGAGCATAGAATAGTCCCACGAAAAGAAAATCTTTGTGTGATAGAGTAGACCACCATAATCATGTGTTTTTGGGGTCGCGTCAGCTTAGACAAGCGATGGTATGTTTTTGTATACATACCTCGCCTATATTTGTATAGCTTCTGTGACATACATGCCACTAGAAAGTGGACGAGCATCGCGAGCCTTCCTCGGATGGTCACCTATTCAAGTACCGCAATCAGCGTTGCTTGACTTTTCATATCAATAACAGGAATACCAGTCGCTAAGTCCCACTCGCCCTTCTATTATAATTGATTTCAGTTTTGTTTTTGGACTTTTGAGAGAGTATACTAGTACTTTTGAGTAATTTATTAAATGTTTTTAGTGCAGAATAAGGTATGTTTCTCTGAATACATGTTATACAGGTGTTAGCACATCTTTATTCTTTCAACAGTATGTATGTTATTCCTGACAGTTCTTAAACAGTGGATTATTCTCAGTTATAAATGTGACAGCTCCATAAATATATAAACTTGTTAACTTAAGCATTTCTGCAGGATTATATTCGTGTCATATTTAAAATATCTCTAAGACACTTCTCCTGCAGAACTAATGTTCGTTTTGCTTCAAGAGAGACGCCTCAAAGCCATATTTAATTTTGGTGTGTATATAAGCTTGATATGCCGTATAAGCCACTTCATATTTACGGGCATATCTATATTGAGCCATGTTCTGCTCTAGGGGATCAATTTGAAATTTCCAATTTAGGCGTGAGCCCTTATTCCAGCAAGTAATAAATTATTTACCAATGTTTTGGTGGTTTGGTGCATTTGCGAGTGTTATTTCATTACTATTTATCCTTGAAAATGTTGTTATCCGAGCCTTGTCTTTCTTTAATAAAGTAAAATAATATTGTGTCTCTGGAGCATTATTTTGAATGCTAACATTCATTAAATAATAAATCATTAATATTGACAATGTTTATTACAGGTGCTAATGTCGATCCTTGAGGTATACTTTTTTGTATTATCATTTTCCCGATTTTGTTAACTTTCCTAGCTCCTTTACTTCTATAATACAATGCATACGTATGTAAAAATATGTTGCAAGATTTCTTGCTATTCTATTCTGATATTTGTTTTGTCGTGGTATGGTCAACAAATTCGAATGGTTAGATCCAAGGAAGCAGCTACTATTGTATGCTTGTTGCTCTTTGCTATTATATTTTGCAAATAGGTCTTGGTAAATTGCTTAAACAGTTGATTTCTTTTCTAAAACAATTTTTATTATCTGACAAGCAACTTTCCTCCAGAAAATGTATCGATCGATCGTAAATAATTTTTCTCGAATATTTTATTAATATCGGATAATAATGCTATGGGATATATCGTTTTTACAATCTTTTTTTTTATATGCATCGTATATAAGACGTTTAGATTCTCAGAACAAATTTTGTGTTTTTAGATTCGTTACATTACATCGAAAAAGTTGGTTCCAAAAAAGCGCATACTAAAATTTTATCGGTATTCTTTTTGTGTCATCCGCCATTTTGAATTTTACAATTCCGACTTCAGATTCGTAATCAGTGACCCCGAAAACGTGGATAACCTGTTTGAACGATTGAAAATTGACTTTGAAGGGGAAAAGTAGTACATCTAGGCGCAAAATCCTGTTTTTCGCACTTTTAGGTTAGGATATCTCGAAAACCTGACAAGATCGAACAATTGTGTTCAACTTTCGAGAAAATATAGTCTTGTTTTCTTGTTTAAAATTTTATTCTCTCAGTGTAAATACTATACATATTTTTTTTGTACGTCTAAATTTAGAGATAATTGCTAGTGTCGAGAGAGTTAATTGATGCAGATTATCGGAATCCGCTATTTGCATTTATATGCGTTATAAATGCGTGTATTTTGTTGCGGGAGACGTTTTAATTTCAGTAATTAACGGTACCGTAAATTCAACTTCTTGTTTTACGTCCGTGAAAGGAATGGAACCAAATAAGATTAGAGCAAAAGGTATTTAAGTGGTTCTATCGGGGATGGTATGTTGTTTACTGCTTCAAGTGTTATTAACTTTAACTATAACTGCAATCGTATTTTAATTAGCTTCCTGCTAGAACTGTGTATAAAAAGTAGAAAGAACAGGATCTAGTAACACGTAAATAAAAATCAAGTGGAGCAATGTATGGAAAGCGAATTGGCCCTATGTGGTTGAAATTTTGATAACAAAGAACGTGTTTGGGAAACATTGAACTCAGTTAAGAGAACTCCTGCTGTTAATTTCTTTTAGAAAATATTGATTTTGCACGCACAGAACTGCATTGAAGGTATCAAAGCTTGAAATCTTGGTTTAAATATCTCTCCTTATTTCTTTTAATTGAAATAAACTGCGTAGGTATCCGGCCCTGTTCGGTTCAGCGCATAAACACTTCTGCAGCTTTGACTAAAATCGAGGATTACGTAATACCGAACAAATATTAAAATTTAACGTCCCACGATCGGTATAAAAAAATCGCAAATCGAATATGAATAAAATTACATAATGCTCCTAAAATAAACAAACAAAAAAATTCTTCTGAGGTTGCATCACCACTAACTGTACCATAATAGTAGGCAGCAGCAACCGGTAATTTATTTTACAAAACATTAAAGTTGTAATAGGCCTCAGCTAACAGTCCTAATTATATCCACCTCTGGAATTACTTATCCGTGGTATTTTAATGCCCACCAAAGCTTAAAACGCGTGAATGTAGACCGGAAACGTATACAAAACCGATTGCGAGAGTACCTGCATTTTTCGAAAGATTAAAGTTGTCCGTGAGGTTACCATTTTCTTGTGAATAGCAGCGTTGCGATGTGGGACGACAGTTGAACACGAAAATTGTCAAATAGAAGGCCGAGCGGTGATGGCTGCTGACGTCATTGTAGTGGTTACACAAATGCAATAATCTCATTTCCAATTTTTTTAGTATTCGTTTTTTTTTTTTCAAAAGATTTAATAGTACATTTTGCACCAGGATGTAAAAATGGCGTTTTTCTATCAATGATTGAACAAATTGTCGAATTGGAGAAGGTGCTTTTTATACTCATATACAGGGTGGGCCATTAATGTGAGAAAGAAAAATAACTCCCTTGTTATTCATAATACAGAAAAAAGGTTTATATAAAAGTTATAGAGAATCAAGAAACCTAAACTATAAAATTAATTTTATACATACAGGGTGATGAGTAAAAACGGGACACGCCAAATATTACATTTTTTAAATGGAACACCCTGTATATTTTTAAACATATGGATTTCTGAGAAAATTCTATATATGGCAATATAAACAGTTTAACATTTTAGTCCGGGGTTGCCAAGTTATGTAGAAAATTCTTCGAATTTTGGAAGAAACATGACCTCGAAGAAGTTGTATTAACTTTCAACTACTAACACTTGGAACTAAAATATCTGACAGTGTTATAGACAAATGTTAGGCAAATACTCTTATATTAGCTAATATCGATATTTTATACAGGGCATTTTTTATAATACGATCATTTTAAGAAAGTTCAACTTGATTTTCTAAAATTTTTCAGATGGAACACCCTGTATTTTATTGTTCTATTTTATCCACATATCACTC